TCTTCCGATAACAAATTCTGGCTAAGCAAGTGCAATGTTTCAAGCCTGTTTTTAGCCGGGGACAGCGCCGGAGCCAACATAGCCTACCACGTCTCGAACCGCTTGTCCTGCAACAACGCCGTTTTGAGGCCGTTGAGGCTAAAAGGCTTGGTTTTGATCCAGCCTTTTTTTGGAGGAGAGGCGAGGACGGGGTCGGAGAAGTACTCGAACCAGCCGCCGAACTCGGTGCTGACGCTGTCGGCTTAGGCGAGGACGGGGTCGGAGAAGTCCTCGACCCAGCCGCCGAACTCGGTGCTGACGCTGTCGGCTTCCGACACGTATTGGCGGCTCTCGCTGCCTTCGGGTTCGAGCCGGGACCACCCGTGGTGCAACCCTCTGGCCGGTGGCGTCGCCAGGCTGCGGGACTTGAGAGTCCCGGCGACGATGGTGTGCGTTGCGGAGATGGATATATTGAGGGACAGGAACTTGGAGTTCTGTAACGCCTTGGTCGGCGCAGGGAAGAAGGTCGAAACGACAATGTATAGAGGAGTTGGTCATGCGTTTCAGATTCTCCATAACTCTCAGTCATCTCGGGCTCAGACGCAGGAAATGATGTCGCATATCAAGAGTTTCATCAATCAATAGTAATTGGTTAATATGTGTGGAACTCATCAGTAATAGCTAGTGTAGTATGAATAGGTCATTTTATGTGGATGGCTTGTGATGTGGACTTAGTCTCAAATCCGACACTCGGACTTGTAGACACTTGTAATTTTTTTCGTTTGTTTTTATAACCGTTCTTATGTTTGTGTAATACTTAATTTGTTTAAATATCACACTCAATATTATATGTATTCGACTGTATTTATTTAATATTACACTAAAACAAATAGTTAGGTGTTATACAAAAGTGTAAACAATGTTACAATGGCAAAGAAAAATATTACTAGTATCTGATTGATCTAGGTGTCTGATTTTTGAGACAATTTACATATATATATATATATATATAATTTTTATGTAGAAGGCTTGTGATGTGTATTTATTTTGTTTCCTTAATTTTTCTCGTGTGTAGGAGTTATGAGTATATGAATGAATATATGCGTTTGTGATCGTATCGATCATATTCATAACCATTGGTTTCAACACCACGAAAAGGAGAGATCTTGACCTGCTCTTTCTTTCTCTGTGTATGAGTAATATGCTTTTATAGGCAGCAAAAGCTATCTATGCCTTCTGGACCACCATTTACCCGTTGTAATTGTTTTCCTTACTCATTGTTTTACTTCCTGCCAAGATGTGGATATCTATGCCGGCAGAAATATGGCTACCCTGTACTTAATAAGGAGATTTTAGGGGGAAAAAAAACTATAGATGAAAATATCATAAAAAATTTAACAAAATATTTACTTTAAAATTAAATGTTTTTATTATATTATCTATTTTAAGATATTTTTCAGATATGATAATTATATGTACGTATAAGTTTTAATATAAAAATTCAATATAAGAATAAAAAATCTCAATATAAAAACTTACATAAGACTCAAACATAGTTTAGACTCTATCTTGAATCAAGCAAATCAATGTTGTAACATGTTTTTTTTTTTTTTTTTTTTTTTTTTTTTTTTTTTACGAAGTACTGCACGAACAAGGATATTCTATTATGCTGATAAAATACTGATAAAACAAAAAAGTAAAAAATACATGCCGAATTTTACTAAAATTTTGAAAGTTTTTATAACTTTTTTCAGTATCTTTTGAAATTTTGTAAAAATATACACTACAGATCATTCTTTTTGTTGTTTATCAAATTTATTTTGATTTTAGTGTCCAAATAATAATTCAAAAGCTTGGAATTTCAAAAATTTTGACATATATTAGAAATTTCAACCTTATTTTTCTCACATAGTTTCTTGTTATTCTGTAAATCTTACTGTAATAATTGAATGCAAAGAGATATTTATTTTCATACTTTTGATACCAAAGATAGCATTGAAATAAGTCTTCAGGCTCTATTCATCCGCGGGTAGTACAATCTTTTTTAGGGTTATTAGTGTCTTAATTCATGAATTATGAGCATTGTGTAACTTTGATAAATTAGTCCATGAAATTTTGACTATTAAGTATTTTGGTCCTTAACAATAAAAATGAACAAGGATGTCTGAAATTTTATAGAATAAATCACGTTCCAATTTCATAATAAATGAAAAACTTTACACAAGTTGTTACATAAAATCAAAATATTTTTTAATTGTTCTTAAAAATCCATAAAAAGATTAGAACATTTTGCATTCTAAGTAACTCATTTCTTAAAAATTTTAGTTACGTATAATAATTGAAAACGTTACACTAATAGGTACATTAAATATTATTGGGGCTCTCGATTGATTCCTTGAGTACAACGTGGCAAGCTTGCGCACATGGAGGTACTTGATTCGCCAGCGTTAACTCAAATATAGTCAACGCACTTAGCGTTTCTCATGGTAAACACATCAGTAGGACCTCTAATGAAGATGTGGGGTCGGCCAAGCTCGAATTAGGTTGAAGAAAGTATATTTTAGGGCCCGCTTAATTGCCAAGATGACCAAACTACCTATAAGAACCCGAAAAAGACGAATATAAAATCACATGGGCGAAGTCGGTGGGAGGAGTAACCAAAGGTTGATGGAGAATAGACTCAGGTTGGATAAAATTTTCACATAGTAGATATAAGACTCATGTAATGGATAAGGCTTTAAAAAAGCAGGTAATATCGTTCCAGAGGCCAACACATAGTGCTCTGGGAGTGGTTTCGAGAATCTTAAGAAGATTGAGGTTGAGATGAGCTCTTATAGCTGATAATGAAGATGAAGTTTTGATGCTTTTTGAGCCTTGAAATATGCTCCGTGAGACGAATGCGTGTCACCCCAGAAGTACTTGTTGAATCTGTCGAAAAAGCTCAAGGAAACTTCAAACATTCTAAGAGGGTTAGCGAAGCAAATGGAGATCTAGCAGTAGTTCTTGAGGAATATCGTAGCTCAGAGCACATCGAAACAGAACCTCAAGAACAATAATGAATAATATTATTTTTAACACAAAATATTCGAGAAAACTGAAGAAAGTTTGCTCAGAGCTTCGACTAATATGAAAAGAGAGTTTTTCAGAATTGTGGTGTGAATTGTAGAGCTCACCCCTAAAATGTGAAGAGGAATGAGGTATTTATAGGAAAAATTGGGAAGCTACGACACTTGCCCTAGCAAGAGTACCGCGCACTCTGACATAAGCCTACAAACATAATTCCCTTTAGAACAAAATCACCAACTGCCTTCCCGGATGTGACAAACACTTTGACCAAAAATTGTAAGAATGGTGGCATCATGTGATGGTTACACGAAGCCATACGACTTGCTCAGATGGAAACTTGCACACACAATTTCCTTTCGGAGCAAAGTCGCTCGTTGACTTATTGGTGTTGACAAAAAGGATATCTAAAAATGGAATAGAACGTTCTAGATGCTTGCTCTGTGAGAGATTTGACAACGTTCTGACAAAGGACTGGGCATTCCATTCCCCACTGAACAAAATCATCAGGTTGCTTACGACATTAGCTAAAGAAATGACTAGAAATAGAATGACTTAGCGACAAGAACCTGGAGTTCATGATGGCTTGAACATTTCCCAAGTCTGAAATTCCAAATCAATTTAATGCCATAAAAATTTCCACTTTTGGAGTTCTGATCGCATGTCAGATATGTCAGAGAGGATTCATACTACTTATGGCAACATAACCATCATCCAAACACCTGACTCAAGTTACTCCGAGGATGTTCTCATGGGTGAACTAAAGGTCCGTGCGGGCTCTCGAGCATGTATAAGATTGCTTCGAGAGGTAAGACTGACACGAGAAAAGCCTCTGTTGAGCTGAAAAAACGACGAAGGAAGACCTTTTTGCTGATGGAGAAGGTTTTAGAAGCGAATTTCTCAGTTCTTGAACTCTAAAAGGCTGAAATGAATATTTTGGGCTTCCAAAAGACACGGGGCATGCTTTTTGGGATAAGATTCTCCATCACCTATTTATTCATGACTTCATTAATTTGAAAATCTCCCAAGTGAAATTTAAATTAGTGCCAAGTCAAGCGATAAATAAGCCCATTTGACTACTCATGTCCTATTAAACCATGATTTACACGAATTTTTTGAGTGTTACTTGAGTCCATGTAACGATCCCAATAACATCACAAGACGGAGTTATTAAACTTGGACCCTTAAATGAGCCTGATACAAAAACAACCACCAGCAAAAATTATATAAAATATTCTTAGGATAATAGTAAATATGGCCCCTTTGGAGCCTAATATTCATAAATGGCTGCAACTTTTGTTTTGATACGGGGTCTTTATTTTTTTCATTTTTTGTGCACGGTCTTATCCCTAAATGACTGCGGTCAGTGAATGACCACAATCCATCACTGATTGATTAAAGAATTATTTTAACCTTGATCTATTGTTGATTGACCGCGATCTGTAGCTAATTGACTTAAAAAAAGTAATTGGCCTAATTTTGAAAATGATGATCCATCTACTTAAATAAGGGTTATAAATGGACCACCCAGCCCAATTTTTCTTTTAATTGTTGTTGAAAATCTTAAAAAACTTAGCACATTTTACATTCAAGGCAACTATTTTTATAAAAATTTCAATTATTATGTGATTATTTATGAGAAATTTTAAAAATCATTCATGTCGAATTTAGCATTAGAGAATAAAAATGCTAAAAAAAAAATAAAATTCATGGACTAAATTTATCAAAACTAAAAATTATCATAATTGAGGGACTAAAGTGCTAATAATTTATTTATTTATTCATTAGGTTTTTCCATATAGCCACTCTCTCAAATTTACGATTTTATCAAATTGGTCTCTCATATTTTAATATTAGTAATTTATCTCTTAAATTTTGATATTTACTACCATGTTAGTCAAATTAAAAACGAAGTTAAAATTTTAGATAGTTTTTTTCACGTAAAGGTTGAGACTAATTCTAATCTTTCAAATTGGTCTTCATATGCACATATGAGCGATAAATTTTTAAAATTGACCCAAATTTTTTTTTTTCTCAAAACGGTTAATCTTGAATTTTAAAATTTTTTTCTCTCATGATGTACATTTGTGATTTAAGGATCAATTCAGTGTAAAAAGATCAAAATTAACCTTATTAAATATTCATGCAGAAGAAACCATGCAAAATTTTTTAAGCTGATTGTTGGTTTAATAAATATTGCAATAAATTTTAAAATTTAAATAGTAAATTGTTAAAATTAAAAGTTGAGTGCTGAATTTACCGAAATGAAAGGAGCGTCGGTAAAAAAAGCCTATTTATTAACATGGAACCGAACGAACTGTAATCGAATGTACTGCGGTACTCCTCACTTCGTTACCAGGATTGTCGAGCTTAAAATTTGTTTGATTTAATTATTTTTTCTTGCTCTTTTTTGTCTTCTATTTTCAGATCAAATCCAACAAAAACTTCGAACCCCCAGTTCTATGCGAAGATGAAGTATTTTCCATTTCATTGAAGATTCTTCATTTTTTTTTTCTTTTGCGGATTTCTTGATCGTTCTTCTTTGAAGAAACGCCAATGGCGAGGAATTACGTGAGGGAGAACGTACCGCTCTCGCGGTTCGGCGTGCTGGTGGCGCAACTGGAGTCCATAGTCGCGTCCGCAGCTCAGCAGGCGCCGGAGCCACTCCTCTGCTTCGATCTTCTCTCCGATCTCATTTCCGCCATTGATGAAGAGCCCAAGGTCCGCCTCTCTCTCTCTCTCTCTCTCTCTCTCTCTTTTTCTTCGTCTTCTTTAGAAATCAATGCTTGATTCAGATTGTTCTTCGCCTCAGATTGCGTATTTATGTTTCATCAGTTTCTGCCTTTGGTCGCCATTGCGATGTACGTGAGGAAATGACACTTCGATTGATGTGAAATTAGAGATGATTACTTAGACCTTATCTGAATTCAGTGTAGTTCAAGTTAATTTAATGCATTCAAGAATTCATAGGATGATTATTACTCTTTTGAATTCATATGAGCGTTTCTGTTTGAAATTGATGGATTTTTGGAACATATGTTCATTGGAAGCTTCACGATGATTTATAATTCACCAGCCGAAAAATTAATTTCAGGGATCAATCTTGTTGTGGCAAAGGAAATGTGAGGATGCGCTGTATTCCTTGCTTATTCTCGGTGCTCGGAGACCTGTACGGCATTTGGCGTCGGTAGCAATGGCTAAGATTATATCCAAGGGAGATAGCATTTCGATATACTCAAGAGTGAGCAGTCTCCAAGGATTTCTCTCTGATGGCAAGAGGAATGAACCTCAAAAAGTTGCTGGTTGGTTGAAAAATACTAGAACTCATAACGTCGTTTACTGTTATGTCATTCAGTGTTATTGATGCTGTTGTAATTGTTATATTACAGATCTATCTGATACTTCTTTTGCTTAAATCTGCGAACCAATTCTGCAGGTGCCACACAATGCTTAGGAGAACTATACCGGCATTTTGGGAGAAGGATCACGTCGGGTTTACTCGAAACAACTGTTATTGCGACGAAGCTTTTCAAATTCCATGAGGTAGTCCCCCACGATATGCAAATTTGCATCTTAGTGAGTAAGAATTCATTTAAGAAAGGGAAAAAAAAAGTGAGAGAAGGAGCCCTTTTGTTCAAGTACAGAATTTAGTATAATTATTCATCTACCACTCTTATGGCCTGTTTACTTTATGCTGAATAATATTCTTTTAGGGGCGTATTAGTATACTTGCTGAATATAATTATCTCGTTTTTGATAAATGTGATTTTATTTTTTATATTTATTAAAATTTATTTTATTTTTTATACAATGCGGGATCAAACCTGCACCCTCCCGAACCCAAGCTTTACCCCACGCTACCCCCAATGCCATGGTAATTGTTGTGTTCATTCGCGAATATAATTATCTTTTACACCATGGTAATTGTTATCCAATCTTGTGACTTCTTCTATCTAGTATCTTGGTGCTATCTTTTAGGTGCTTGAGTAGGTCAAGGGTAAAGTGCTTGGTTTCTGCACAACTCGTTGGCTTAAATGCTTACAAGTCAAAGAGCCTTCTTCCAGCCTTCTTGCTTTTTCTTGTTATTTATAATTCCAGTCAAATATATCATCTTCAGGAATTTGTTCGACAAGAGGCTCTACACATGCTTCAGAATGCTCTAGAAGGCTCGGGTGGTAGTGCTGCTTCTTCAGCATATACAGAATCCTTCCGTCTCATCATGCGATCTGCTGTTGGGGATAAGTCGTTCTTAGTTAGAATAGCTGCTGCGAGATGTCTAAAGGCATTTGCCCTCATTGGAGGACCAGGTTTGGGAGTGGGAGAACTTGAGAATTCAGCCTCCCATTGTGTCAAGGCAGGTTTCTTCTTTGTCTTGTTTTGTTTACAATTATTTTGAAAGCGATGCTGACCTTTCCCTAAAAAAATGTTGATCTTTCCCATGTACGCATTTCATGTTTTTCCTTTCCATTGCTGATTGCAACAGGCCCTTGAGGATACTGTTCCATCTGTTCGGGATGCATTTGCCGAAGCATTAGGGTCCTTGCTTGCTCTTGGAATAAATCCTGATACACAGGTTTCTGCTTTTGTTTTCTCCTCCAATTAGCAGTTGAAGATCAGTTGTTATACTGAATTTTGATGAGAAGAGAGTTTGGAATTTGACATGCAAAAGAAACAAAAAAGAAATACAAACAGGAACTAATCTTGTTCAATTTGCTGAAAGTACAGAACAAGGCTGTGCTATCCATTTAATTATTTATCCAAATATCCTATGATTTTGATAATGTATTTATAGTCGGATAAAGTCTGGAATTTAAAGACAGTCCTATTAAGTTTCAGATTTGGCTGAACAATTAATTTAAACTATGTATATAAAATTAGTCTCTATAAATGAGTTATTATGCAAGTGATGAACCTCAATTATCTGGATTTCTCATTTATACTCAGACATAAAATAATGTGCAAGTATGTTGGTTTCTTAAAGATTTGGATTCATATGTTGTCGAAGAGGATCTAAGAGTGTTTGGAGATGGAAAGAAGGGGAAGATTATGTGGAAAACAATGGTGGTGGCAATTTTTTGGGTGGTGTGGCTGGAAAGAAACTAACGAATTTTTGAGGACATAAGTTCCAAAGAGACAGACCTGTTTGAAAAGGCTCAATTTTTGGCTTCGCTTTGGGCATCTACAAATAAAGGGTTTAAGCATTTTCCTTTATCGATAATCCTGTTAAGTTGGAGGGATGTGTTGAGTTATTGAGACTTAAGAGAGTTGTTGCGTTTATGTTTCTTACATGTCCAAACTGTTTTTGGTTTTTGCTTATGAGGATCTCTCATCCTCGTCACCTTGTTTTGATTATCTTTCTTCAATAAAAGGTTTTGTTTATTATAAAAAAAAAAGAATTGTCAAATCTGGATGGGGTTATACTGCAACTATTTGTACATCTTGATTTCCCTAAATCCTCGTAGCAATCTCAAGATATTTGGTTTTATTAGGTTCAACCAAGGGGAAAAGGTCCTCAAATTCCAGCCAAAAAGATAGAAGGTGGATTGCAGAGGTATTTGACTTTGCCCTTCACAAAAGGTAATTTTCCACCTTAAGTAGTTATTTTATTTATTTATTTTTTGCATTAAATGGTTTAAATATTCAGGTTACTTTCTCAACTTTTAGGTACTTTAACGGGCTTGCATTTTCTGCACCTGGTTACTTTATTTTTTGAGGACATGCATTGCCCGGACAATATGAATGTGTGTTTATATATTTGAGTCAATACTATTATACTCAGCATTCACACTTCACTACATTGAACTACTTTGACAAATTGTTCATTGCACAGCAAGTGGGCCACGGTCAAAGGACATGCGAGTTGGCATTACCTTGTCTTGGGTATTCTTTTTGCAGGTAAATGCTGACAATTGTTCCTTGGCTTAGTAACAATTTTCTTCACTAGATGGGGTAACTGGCGAAATATAATAAGCAACTATGCTGTTTTATGAGTGACAAATCTCCATTTTTAAATGCTTTCTGAGGAATGATTGGAATTCTCTTTGCTGAGGTTGGCTCATTGATGTAGGGAGATTTACCTATAATTAGTCGTTTTTAATATTTTATGTTGTCGTTTGTTCTAGCTTAGTAATTTAGCTTTGTTTTGTTATTAGTATGTCGTTTGCCTTTAGTGAGTATTTTGTTATCGTTTTGTGTGTGAGCTATAAATAGCCACATTATCAATCGTATTAGAGATACTTGATTATTGATATTGAATACAAAAGTTTTGAGTGTTTTCTCTTCAATTGGGGGAAATTCCCCTTGTGGGGTTTCTTTAGGTAGATTTGGGATTTCATGTCCCGTCTTCCGTCCGGGTTAGGCCGGTAAAATCCTGTTCTTTCCATTCCACTGCATCACTCATCCTTTCTTATATACTTTTCTTTGTTTCACCTTTTTAATTAATTTTCTGAGCAGCTCTTATAAAGAAAGGAAACATTCTTTTCAGCAGTTATGCTGTTGAAAGGTGCATTGCTGCTAGCCTGAAATTTTTGTTGGTGAATTTTGTCTTGCTGCCTTTTTATGAATTGGCTATACCAGTTGCTACTGTGCTAAGTTTGGAGCGTGATTTTCAGTTATATAGCCTACTTTAACGTAGTAATATTTAGGACTTCTTTTATGGTTATATCTTTCCATTCACAAGTTTTCTTTGTATTATATGTTGCAGGCCATTCGTCTAAAGTATTTGCTTCCAGATAGTGAGCTCCAGAACTATGCTGTGCAAGTTATGGATATACTTGGTATTGATGCTTCTGTTGATTCCCACGCACTGGTATCTCCTCAACAAGCCACAGCCTTTTTCCTTTTTTTTAGCTGATAAATAGATTTTGCAATTAGATGACTCTTTTTCTTGTGTATCTGCTCTAATTAGTTTTTATTTATTTAAGAAAGTGAAACACGAATTGAGCTAAGTGAAGGAAATGTTGAGCTATAAGTTAGTCTCTAATATTTTCTGGTGTAACCCTAATGGGGGATCTATAATTCGTTTTAAGCAGTCCTGGAGTTGTTAATTTATTCTAGCGAACAATATGCCAAATGATATTGACATTCTAAAAAAGTTTAGTTGATTAATTTAGATATATTACCTCTCCAATACTGGATAGAAAAGAATAAATTAGGACCAGTTTGTTGTAAAAGCTCAGTTTTGAAATTGTACCCTATTATCAAGAGTTTAAAGATGGGTTCCGGTGTATGGATGAGCTTCATTTCTTATCAAAGGAAAAAATGAGTGATATGGATTAGATGGCTAATGCCATTTATCAGCTTTCCCGGTTTGATAAGACTATATAACGAATGAAGCAATTATTAGATATCATGGAACTTGTGAGGACGAGGCTGTTAGAATTCCTATGTTTTACTGTGACAACTGTGTCTCATGTTTTATCTCTTATGATTTTGATATATTAAACTTAGTTGCATATTTGGAATAAGAATATAATTTTAAGATCAACTATAGATATAGAATTGTCCATTGTATAACTTTTTTTTTCTTTTTGGGAGGGAATGATGTTAAGACGTTGTTGGTTGCTATATTAATTATTATGAATGGTTGAGAATATCGGTGATTATCTCCATTTTGAAGATCTCACTGGCCATTTATTGTTTGCTGAAGGCATGTGTTCTCTATATACTTCATGTTGGCATAACTGATCAAATGACAGAACCTACCCAGAGGAACTTTTTAAATTTTCTTGCAAACCAGGTGAGCATAAGTTTTAGGACTTTGTAGTACATTTTTTTTAGACATCAAATATTCTGATAGCTGCCTGAAATTCTATGGCGTCTCTAAAGCAAACTTTCCTATGAAATTTGCAGCTTCAATTACCTGATGCCAGTCCTTCCGTTAAAATTGCTGCTCTACGTACTGTGTCATATACCCTGAAAACATTGGGAGAGGTAACACGTTGCTTTCATGATGTCTGTGTCTCTCTGTTGTAAACTTTTGGTTTTAGGATTTTCGTCCTTTGAGGAAATCTCTTCCTCTTCTTGTGTACATAATTTTTCCATATCAATAAAAGTCCCGTAGTTTCTGTAAAAACAAAAGTTTAAGGTTGTTCTTACTCTTTCCATTTGCAGGTTCCATCTGAATTCAAGGAAATGCTTGACAATTCAGTTGTTGCAGCAGTATCTCATTCTTCACAACTTGTAAGCTTTTGACTTCTCACTATCATTTGAGGCTTCAACAATCAACGTCATTTGCAGTGTCAATAGATTCTTTTATATTTATATCTTTGCTCACACTTAATTACAACTTTGTATGTACTACCCTCTTAGTGAAAGATGCGAGGTAGATCATTAAAATGTGAAGGCAGATTTTTACTTTTGTTATTGTAATCAGATTGTAGGTCCCTTTCTACAACCTATGTTTATAAATGATCATTTTTGTAATTTGTTCCCACATAAAAGTCCTATAGATTTCGGCTGGGGTCTACAGTTCTTTTTTCTTGTTTCTTTTTTTCTATAATTTTTAAAAGAAAAGATCCTTTTATTGATAAGATGATCACGAACAAAGGTTGCAAAAGAAAAGAAAAAAAAAAAAAAAACAAACAGAATGGTAAGGGAAATTGTACGAGGTTTATGAGGAGGATCTAAATTAAGTTGACCAGGTTAAGAGAGGAAATTGATCTTGAGGTTAAGGGAACTAATGCACTAAGTACGGTAGTTTTTATTCATTTTCTTTCATTGTTTTCCCTAGTTTGTTGGTTTTTACTTGTATTTTTCTTTCTTTCTTATTCTTTCCTTGGTTGAAATTTCTATGACAGATGATAAGAGATTAACTTTTGATGCAGTATAATACGTGGAGTTAGCTTATATCTTGTTATTATCAATATAAAAGTATTAATTTTTATGGTTTTGATAGTAGAATTTGGTAGCTGAACATTGAATGATAATTTATGGCCAGGTACGAATTGAGGCTGCTCTAACGTTGCGTGCATTGGCTGAGGTTGATCCCACGTGTGTTGGTGGTTTGGTTTCATATGTTATAACCATGTTAAATGCTTTAAGGGAGAATCTTCCGTTTGAGAAGGTGAAGTTTGTTATTTTTTTTTGCTTTTATTTTGTTGTTCTTTTGTTTGTTGTTGATGATTATGGCAGTTGCTGAAAAGTTGAAAGAATGGTTGTTACTAAAGCTTTTACGTTTCTGTGTTGTCCTATATTCGTTTTTTTAGTGCTTTACGAACTATACTTTCTAGCAGTTGAATTGAATATGCTTAGATGGACAATTTTTCACTAGGATTAGTGGCAAATGAATATGCTTAAATAGAAATTGTTTTGCTAGTTTTCCTTTGATTATAACCATTTAACCTTGGTTGTCCTGAGGCAAAGGGAACTATTTGATGTTCTATGTCTTTTATTAATATTTGTCGTTACGTGGTACCCATAACTTGTTTACAGGGGAACAACTTGCAATCAGACCTGGATTCTTTGCATGGGCAAGCTACTGTGTTAGCAGCTCTTGTGTCCATCTCCCCAAAATTACCTCTTGGATATCCAGCTAGGTAATTATTTACTTTTTCCTGATAATAAATTTCTTTTTGCCCGTTAATGGAGAGATAATGTTTGTATGAATAAAGTATAATATTGTTTTAATATATTAAAATATCACCACGATATTAGTTTCATCGATTACAGCCAATGAAAAGAGATTACACGTGTTATGATTTTGATTTTTGGCATTTTAGCCGAACATAATATTTTGTGATATCAGAATCTTTTTTTAACGTGCTACAGAGATGTTTTATACAATTTGAGAAATAGAATTCATGTCACTTCTCCTTTTTGTTTTTTGGAGTTACTTTGTCCCTATAGTTTTTCTCTCTCCATCCTTTCCTATTTTGGATGTCTGAATTTACTATTATGGCATGTAGTGCCTCTTAGCTTTCTATGCCGGTATATATTGATACGGCTTTTTTGACATTGCACCCATTTTCCTTTTGGTCATTATGGAATGTCATGATTGTCATACATGCTGGTGGTTGTTAATGCTAATTAGTTGTTTTATTGCGCTTAGATTGCCCAGCTCCGTGCTTGATGTTTCAAAGAAAATGCTTACAGAATCTAGTCGGAACCCTGTAGCTGTCACAGTCGAAAAAGAGGCGGGCTGGTATCTTTTATCATCTCTCCTCGCTTCCATGCCAAAGGAGGTATGCAGTTGAACCTGAATTCAATTTACTTAAAGAAATCTCTGAGAAAAAAAAAGGCATCCTGAGCTAAACATTATAGGCTATTCTTGAAAAATACAGGAGATTGAAGACCAGGTTTTTGATATTCTTTCCTTATGGGCTGATATCTTTAGTGGAACTCCGGAGCATGAATCTAAACAAACTGAGGATGTGACATCAAGGATTCGGTAAATCTTTATACAGTGTGTCTGTTCTATTTTTTACTTTTAACAGCCTAATACATTGTCTTTCTAAATTGCATGAAACTATCTCTTGACCTTGTAGTTCCTTGTTCTATTTTCAAGCTTGCAAGACTAGCAATGTGTTGGACACGTAAAATGGAATTGGTTGTTAGTGATTTTTATTTTTTGCTTATTTTCTGGCAGCATATGGTCTGCAGCAATTGATGCTCTTACATCATTTTTGAAGTGCTTTGTTAAACCTACTTCTTTTGATAGTGGGATTTTACTTCAGCCAGTACTCGTATATCTGAGTAGGTATGCTTATTATCACACATTTAATGGTGGCTTTACAATTTCTTGTATTGTCCAGTCCTGTGTACAATTTTAAAGTTTCCTTACATGATGCAAAACAGGGCTTTGTCCTATATATCAGCAATAGCGGCGAAGGATCTGAGGACTATGAAGCCTGAAATAGATGCATTTATTATCAGAATGTTAATAGCATATCAGTCTCTTCCTTATCCAATGGCATATAAGAACGACCACCCACAAATTATTAAATTATGCACAACACCATTCAGGTGATGCTGCTTGAACCCTTAGTTGCACATTACTCTGCTTTAGTTTCCAGACAATCTTTCACATTCTCTTTTGAGGATAATGTGATTTTTTTTGTCTTTTTAAATCTCGTTTGAAAGTGGAACTAGTTTGGCTATTGTTTCCCCTAAACTTCCTGGTTTAACTTAGCAGGGATGCTGCTGGATGTGAGGAAAGCTCATGCTTGAGGATGTTGTTAGACAAAAGAGATGCATGGTTGGGTCCCTGGATTCCTGGAAGGTGTATATGTGTTTAAATTCAAAGTATTTTGATAGCTAAGTTTCTCTTCTAAATGCTTTCAACCCTGACAGCGCTGTAGCATCATGAATCTTTTTGTAGCTAACTATGGAGTCCTCCCTTCTATTTGAATCTGAGAGATATTTGTTACTTATCTTTTTTTGCTTAGGGACTGGTTTGAAGACGAACTTCGTGCCTTTCAAGGGGGAAAGGATGGTCTTATGCCTTGTGTGTGGGAAAATGAAGTTTCTAGCTTTCCTCAGGTAATTCTTTTATGTAGTTTAGTTTCATTACCATCACCACCCAAGATTATTATAATTTTTCTGGCTAGTAATAAACTCAGGGGAATGTTTCCCATTAAGTTATTCCGTTTTTCAATATTCCAGTGGCGTGGTTTTTTATGTACTTTTTGTATAAGTAATATCCTCTCATTGATGATAAAATCAATTACAAAGTCTGTAAAAGAGGACGCTCCTCAAGGAAAACAAACAATCGAAAGGAAAACATGTTGATAAAAACAAGACTCGTACAGTTAGAACCCCATCATCTTTCAACTTAGAATAATCAAAGGCTATCAGTTTCACTGTTCATTTCTGGCGTATTCTGCGTTCACCAAATCCTGATGATTTTTCTTTGATCCTAATTCTTTGCTTGAGAATTTCCTAGTCTTCATTGTTGCTCTTTTCCTTCTAAGGACTCCAACACGAACTAAGCAGCACTATTATTCAGGCTTCGGCTAGATAAAATTAGTTTTTAATCTTAGAGTAGTGGTTCAATTAATAAAGCTAATAAAGGAAATAGAGGTTACAAAAATTGTTGAATCCTTAATTGGGCTTGATTTGTTATTGTAGAATGCTTATGTCTCGATTGTATATATTTGTTCAATCTTATTAGAATAAACGTAAGTATAGTTTTTTGCGGCTGAGAGCTAACAAGATTAACTAAGTGCATATAGTGAGCACAGGTGGGTTTTTTATGGTTCCACCACTCAAAACAAAAGGCTTTTGCCATGATAGAAATTCTGTTCACATCTATATTTTCCTGAATTTTTGTTTTCTGCTACTGGAGTTATAATTTCTTGAAAGTCGATAGAGTTTCATTTTGCTTTCAATACATTCTTCTGCATTAAAGAAGAATTTCTCCATCTCTCTTTTTTCCTCCCACTTATGAAAACTGGATTAATCAACCTGTTAATCATGCCAGAGTGCAATCCCCCTTTTATGATGGACATTTGGCACTTTGCTTCTGTACTGAATTATTGATCCTACAATTGACAACCATTATCTGGCAATACTGATTCTTACGTTTGAATTTTTATATTATTGCTTATAATTTTCATTGCGTTATTTATCTTCATATGCTGAGGATTTAATTTGACCATGAAGCCTGAACCAACCAACCGGAACATAATGAACCAGATGCTTTTTAGTATTATTGTTTATTTTGGTTGCCTTGTTCTTCATAATCTGAGGATTGAATTTGACCATGAAGCCTGAACCAATCAACAAGACCTTGGTCAACCAGATGCTGCTATGCTTCGGACTCATGTTTGCTTCTCAGGTAGGGGGATATGGTGAAATATTTGCATCTGTCTATGAGTTTCTCACTCTAAATTTTAACGAAATTCAAATTCCCAGGATAGTGGTGGTATGCAGTCACTTCTCGGAATTATTGAGCACTGTCTGAAAGCTGGAAAGAGGCAGACGTGGCATGCGGCCAGTGTCACCAATATTTGTGTGGGGTTACTTGCTGGATTCAAGGTGCTTATTATTCTCTAGGTCAAAGATGTTTTGGGGTCCAGTCTTGTCTAGTGAATTTAATGATTGACATTAACTCTTCGTTTCTTTCTCACTTCAGGCTTTGCTTTTTCTTCGTCCCCAGCCATTAGGACAGGATATACTAAATTCTGCACAGGCCATTTTTCAGGTGCCAAAATTTTAATCTGCCCCGTAAAAAATGTTTCAGTGATTTGAGAATTTTCAAATCTGAACGTTAACATTTTATTTGACAGAGCATTCTGGTAGAGGGAGACACCTGCCCTGCACAGCGTAGAGCTTCCTCAGAAGGTCTTGGTCTTTTAGCACGCCTTGGAAATGATGTCTTTACAGCAAGAATGGTCAGTTTTTGCATCTGTATTTTCAAAGAGGTTTTTCTTTGCTTTCTGTTTCTGTATTTAGTTAATGTGAAAAAAGACAGTTGTTTTCACTCACACTCACTAACTCTCTCTCTCATGGGTGTTTATGTGCTGCACAAACTCTCACTTGTTATTTTTGGTGATAAAATAGACTAGATTGCTACTTGGTGACTTGACGGGGCCAACAGATCCAAACTATGCTGGATCGATAGCCCTTGCTCTGGGTTGCATTCATCGCAGGTGAAACATTTATCCGTTTACTTCCACCCCCACCCCCCTCTCTCTCCCCCTCTCTGCCCAAACTTTTTTTTCCTTATTGTTTCTTAGATGGAATAATGTCTATATATATTTTCCTTTTTCTTTGATTATTTTGAATTGGAAGGATGTGATGGGGGGTTAATTGTATAAGTTTGTTTTTACTTTTTTAAGTCGGTTGTATTTTGGATTTTTTTTTCTCTGTGTCATAACTTCTTGTCCTCATTCTGTTGTATATGATTTTATTTGGTAAAAGGAAGTTTTATCTATAAAAAAGATAAGATGTATCCTTGTAATATTGCAGCAAGAGTAACAAAAAAGCAACCTATGGGAAAAATAAAAACTAGATTTGTACTTCAAATAAGGAGGCATGTTGACTGTCTAGGGCCTTTCCTCTTACATGGTTTACCTGCAGTGCAGGAGGCATGGCATTATCAACTTTAGTGCCTGCAACTGTGAGCTCAATCTCTTTGCTAGCCAAGAGTTCAATAGCTGGTTTACAGATCTGGTCTTTGCATGGACTTCTTTTAACCGTTGAAGCTGCTGGTTTATCATATGTATCACATGTCCAGGTAGCCTTCTTCGTTGTGATTTTAGGTGCTTTTAGAAATAAAGCTTTATTGGTGTCATTTGGTGTCTGTTGCAGAAGCTCTTTTATACTTGTCAATAGTGAAAACAATTACCTCTTTTATACCCGTCAATACTCAATAGTAAACGCTGTGCATTAATTTCCTAACTTTTTATTTCCAGATGCCAATCAATATTCTTATGAAAAACTTTGGTGCAGAGCTGAAATTTGAGAAAATTTTTAGACTTTCTGGTATCGTTCTTATGTCAGGATGTAATATCTTTTTGTTACAGGAAGAACGAGAACCCATAAAAATAGTGAATAAAGAACTTTCACTTTACGATTTTGTTTCTTTCTAATTATATTTTAGATAACGAATAGTATGGTGATGAAAGCCTAGATAAACTTGAAAGATACCTGAAACGAAGAGAGTTTTCAAAATTAACAAGAGTCTAATGCCATTTTTTTGGGTCAAGGTCCTCTGTATTCACAATGAACAAGAGTCTATTAATGTCATTTTTTATGGGGTCAAGGTCCTCTGTATTAATTTCACATGGTACTTGCATAATATTAAGTTCAAAGATCTAGAGTAATTGCTTTTATATGTTTTCACATAGACCTTCATTGTCTTTGATATAAGTAGCAGAGTTGGAATATCATGGACTAAATTTTTAGCTCCAGTAAATATAAGAGTTTCATTGATATTCACTAGGAAAAAAAAAAAAAAAAACTACATATGTGGGGATAAAATTATAGATTCCTCTATTTTGCTGCTGAAAGATTGGTCTTTTCTTTTATGTCTGTTATGTCAGAGCATCATTTTGTACCTTTTTCTTTCTCAGATGCATGAACAGTTAGTTTTAGTTGACTTGTCTCTCTTGTTTGTTTTTGTTCGCAGGCAACACTTGGCCTTGCTTTGGACATTCTTTTGTCTGAAGAGAATGGATGTGTTGTTCTTCAGCAAGGAGTTGGCCGCCTAATAAATGCTGTTGTTGCTGTTCTTGGTCCTGAACTTGCCCCAGGAAGTATTTTCTTTTCACGCTGTAAGGTAGTTAACATAGATTTCCAACATCCTTAGACTTATTAATGTTTGAAAGTGTACTTTCCTTGGACATGATGATGAAATATGAATCACTGGAAGTTCTTTTTTGTGATTAGTTCTATTGAATTATGATACAACTGACCTTATGCATTAACGAACTACTTTTTTCCAGTCTGTTATTGCAGAGATAAGCTCCGGGCAGGAAACAGCAACAATGCTCGAGTATGTTGGCTAATTATCTTTTTCATTATAGGGCTTACAGACTCTATTTCACAGTTGTTTGTTTTAAACTTCCATGGCTATGGGATGGGACTGGGTTGACTTTGGAAGAGATTCTTTCCCACTTTTGTTGTTGTAGTTTGATTTTTTTTGGACATTAATAGCCTAAGCCTATCCTGCTTGCAGGAATGTCCGCTTTACCCAACAACTTGTTCTTTTTGCACCGCAAGCTGTGTCTGTCCACTCTCATGTGCAAACTCTTCTTCCTACACTTGCGTCAAGACAGGTTTCTTTGAAGGGATCATTTATAGAAGTTCTTAAATTGCATATTATCCTCTTCTTGTTATTTATTTATTTTTCCAAATTTTTTGTAGCCAACTTTAAGGCATCTTGCTGTGTCCACTTTACGACATCTCATTGAAAAGGATCCGGTATGCTCTTGGTTTTTGCTTATTCCACCAGAAAATAGATCATCTCATTGTCATGGATTTTAGCCGTAATACTATTTCTTTTTCTTTTCTTTGCAGGTTTCCATTGTTGATGAGCAAATAGAAGATGATTTGTTTCGTATGCTAGATGAGGAGACCGATTCTGAGTATGTTGAAGAAATATATCACCTATGTTACTTGGGTTTTTATCACCTATGTTACTTGGGTTTTTGTCCTTTCTCTTGTAACGAACATCCCAAGTGATCATGAAAAATTTGATTTATTTTTTGCACTTTCCATGAACTGTATTGTCAATTTTTACTTGTACGTCCATATTGCTTTTACATTTATAAATGATTTTGATGTGTAGGGAGGAAACAATTTTCATATAGATGTTTTATGAACTAGATGCGTCCATTTATCTTGCTCAGTACTATCAACTACTATTAGCAATGATACGTTTCTACTGTAAGATTATATCATCTTTTCTCCCATATTGGAAAGTCAAACTGAACTATATATTTGGGCTTGATTTTTTTTTGTTTTTTGGGTTTGTTTGTTCTAAATATCGGCATGACATTGTGTATGGAAGTGATAGATAGATAGAGAGTTCTTTCTCCTCGTAAATAATGCTTTAGATTTTAATTTCTGCTGTTCTTTTAGGATTGGAGATCTAGTGCGTACCACAATTATGAGGTTGCTCCATGCATCTTGCCCTTCTTGTCCATTTCATTGGATATCAATATGTCGTAATGTGGTAAGCTCCTTTTTTTCTTTTTCTCCCCACATTTTTCTGCCTTTAATGTAGTCACCTAATATAAATACAAGTGATATTTCAGATGATGAAACTAATGGGATCCTTGCCTGGAGAAAATTTGGGGATAAATATGACGCATCTGAGTTATGTAGCCTACATACTTTTAAGCACTAATTGAATGTATGTCAAAACTCTTTCCAGGTTCTTGCCACACCCACCAGGAGAGATGTTGAAGGAAAGTATGCTGTAGAAAATGATCCTTTAAATGGTACAGATGGTGATACAAGTGTGAATTTGGGACACGATGATGAAAACATGGTTTCTAACTCTAGGCCAGTTCATGGGAACACGGCTGAAGCTTCCCATGTGCTGTTCAACAGAGATGGACACCTTAGATATAGGACCAGAGTATTTGCCGCCGAGTATGTGGTGTTTCTTCTCTTTATCTTTGTATAATCTTATGAATCCATTTGTCTTGCCTGCATAACTGATTCAACTTGTTGGATGTTCATATATCAAGTATTATGTTTGTCTATCAAATACATAACTTGCTAGATGTCCCTTCTTTGATTATTATGTTTGTCTATCAAATACATAATCATGGTGAGTATGACTTGTTAGGTGTCTGAGTCTTCTCCCTGGAGCTGTTGGAACAAATCCAGCTCATTTTGATCTCAGTTTGGCAAGGAAACAGCCCACCAATATGCACGCCTCTGGTGATTGGCTTGTTTGCCATGTACAAGAACTAATATCACTAGCATATCAGGTGCCAGATATGAAGTTGCTTGCTTGCTTTAGTACTTTGATGTATCACAAGCCCCAAAATGCATTTGATGTTGACCTTTTCCCTAATTATTTGTCGTAGATTAGCACCATCCAGTTTGAGAACATGCAGCCCATTGGTGTGCGACTTCTAAGTACCATCATGGACAAGGCAAGTCCTTTCTTCTTTTTTCCTAATTATTAAATTGAAGTTCCAGATTGCTCACAGCAGGTTCAGAAACAGAGAGATAATTTTTTTTTATATGAAAATAAACTAAGGATAAATTCACTTACTGGACACTAGCAACTTGGCACTTTGCTAATGCCAACATTGCTGGTGCGATTGAGTAATGGAGAAAATGTTTTTGTCATATTCATTTTGCTCTCTTAATTTCTTCTAATTTTCTATCAAATGTATTAATTTCATGCGTGAAATTTTATGATTTCCTTTGTCATGTTGTTTTATCATGAAATGGGGACAGTTTGAAAGGACACAGGATCCTGAGCTACCAGGTCACCTTTTACTTGAACAGTATCAGGTATCTCTCTTAACTTATTTCCATTGATAGTGGACCTTTTCTTTCCATTTAAATTTCACCTATCTCTTCTCATTGACTAATATCTTTAAAATTTAGGCCCAACTAGTATCTGCAGTCCGAACTGCATTAGATTCATCCTCAGGCCCTATCTTATTGGAAGCAGGCTTGCAGTTGGCTACAAAGGTTCAAAGACAAATATAACTTTCTTTTCTTATAGATTTTATAGCTAATGATACCTATGCATGAAATGACATGTAAAATTTTCAGATATTAACAAATGGGATAATCAAGGGCGATCAAGTTGCAGTTAAACGCATTTTTTCGTTGATTTCGCGCCCACTGGATGAGTTCAGAGACCTTTACTATCCCTCCTTTGCTGAATGGGTCTCATGCAAGGTACTTCTGATTTCACAGTTTTCGTATTATTTTCATTTTGAAGGAGAGAAGATACGCTCCCTTCTATTTTCTGCTATTAAGGAGAAATAGAAGCCTTCTGCTATTTTTATAAATGGTAAAACGTATCAAGATTAGATGATGGGCCCTTTCATTTTATTAAATGACGAAACAGATCAAAATAAGACTTTTAGCTGCTCATGCATCTCTGAAATGTTATGCGTATACATTTCTGAGGAGGCACCGTGCCAGGGTTCCAGAGGAATACCTAGCATTATTACCACTATTTTCAAAGAGTTCAACTATACTTGGGAATTACTGGATAGGGATTTTGCGTGACTACTGTTACATCTTCCTCAACGCGCATCTCAAGAAAAAGGTAAACTAAATTCTTAAGCTGTTAGTTTTCCCCCTTGCTTTTATTTGCAAAAGGTGCAAGCTTGTATTTATAGCCATCACTTTTTCATGTCCAGGGGAGTTCATTTCTTAGTGGAATCCAATCACCTCTCGTATCATCAAAGCTTCAGACTTGTTTAGAAGAATCCTGGCCTGTAATTTTGCAGGCACTTGTACACGATGCAGTTCCTGCGAGTCTTGATGGGAATAGCCATTCCAAAGGCACTGTTGACAACATAGCAGAAAACAGCTTACTATCTGGATATAGCATGGTTGAACTGGAATCCAAAGAATATCAGTTTCTTTGGGGATTTTCTTTGCTTGTTCTATTTCGAGGACAGCATCCCACTGTCAGTAAGCTGAAAATTCCTTTGGCTTGTGCTAAAGCTAACCGTGAAGGAGAGTCACCTATTGAAGAGTTAAATTCTCCTGGCATAAACCTATATGAGATTGTATTACAAGCATTCCAGTTTCTTGCCACAGAAAGATTTGCCAGTGCGGGATTTCTTACTATAGACATATGCAGAGAATTGCTGCAGGTATCCCTTCATCTCTCCTTCTGTGGTGTGTCTATTTCTTTCTTTCTTTCTTTTTTCTTTTTCTTTTCTTTTTTGTTTTTGTTTTTTTGGAGAGAAGGCTCATGGTATAACATTGTTTCACGTCGAGCAAAGGAATATTTTGAACTCTAGAAGAAATGTGTTATGACATAGGCTTGGGAATGGTAAACAATTTTTCCTTAAATAAAATAAATTTCTAGATTTTTCTTAATGTTACTCGTACTAAGACCTCTGCAGGAACATTGTTTCGGAAATTGCAAAAGGATATGTAAGTTATGATGTTTAATTGGTGCAGGTTTTTTCGTATTCCATGTACATGGAGAATTCATGGGACAGCCTTGCACTGTCTGTTATATCCCAGGTAATATGTTGATAAAGTATTCTCGAAAAAATATAATATTAAGACCAAAAAATATCTGTAATTTCTTTTCCTATTAGTCTTCTGTATTTTGGCACATACCAAAAGAACAAATAGTAGATAGACAAGGAAGCTTTACTTTGGTTGAGGTGTCACCGTTATGAAATCTTTAGTTCTTATTGGTTATTGCAAGTATTTGGACAGCCAGCCCGGGTCTGGTCTAGACTCATGTGATTATTCTAACGTGTGACTGGAATCCATTTAACTTGTTAAATACATCTGTTGATTCAGACTTCGGTGTGAATGTACAAACTACAAATATTGATCTTGAGCTTAGCCTTATGGAATTTCAAGCTAAATGTTTTCATTCTCTGTTTTTTTAAGAGGTTGGGATTTAATTTTACATTTATTAGTCAGTGTTTCTTTTTTGTTGGTGCTCTAGGTGGACTCCTCGTCCCCTGTTGTAAACCTTTTCTTTCTTGATTAATGAAGGTTTGAGATTTCTTATCAAAAAAAAAAGAAAGGTCTTTAGCAAAATAACAATAACAATAATAATAAAATAAAAACAAATATTGGCATAATTAGAGTTTTCTGTAATTAGGTTCATTTCATATTTTAGTGCAATTTTTCTTTGGTCATAAGTGTGGGGTCATACTTTCGATTTAAACGTGCTTATGAAAATATTATAAGTGTGAATGGCAGATTCAGAACAGTATGTTTATATGAATTCTTTTGCAGATTGTGCAGAACTGCCCTGAAAGTTTTCTTGAAACGGAGAATTTTTCTTATTTGGCCATGGAACTTTGTATGGCTTATCTCTTTAAAGTGTTTCAGAGGTATAAAGTTTCATTATGAACGTTTGACTTTAAGATCTCTGTTTAAGTGAACTGCCAGTTAGCTTACAACTTAATGTTCTATTTGTAGTACTGATGCAATATCACTGGCTGACCGAAATTTGGAGGATTCAATATGTGCTTTATTTGTTAACGCAGAAACACTAGTGAAGCATTTTGAACCGAAGGTGCAAACTTTTTACACTTCATGCATACTTTCTTTCCATCCTATTAAATTTTCATTCATCTGAGGCGTGCATGTAACGTATATTTTACTGCCTCATCATTTTCATATCAACCTTATGCAGAAGCATTTGATATCAGCAGCATTGGCTTTTCTTCTGGCCGGTTACAAGTGCATTAAAGAAGCCTCAACAGACTCTTGCTTTTCCAAAGTTAATAACTATTTCAAGTGCACTAGTCTCTTATTCAAGAAATTTGTTGGTGAGCTTTGACCTGGGAACACCAGCTCTCCATCCCTATAATTACGTTTTCAATTTTCTTTTCCTGTTATAGTATTTTTCTAATCTAACAGATAATACGGTTATTTTGATCATGGAAATGTTCTCTGTAATTTGTTGATGGAAATATTTTCTCTACTTCATTTACGGGAGTCCTTTACTTCTCTGCTTAACCATATTGACCACATGATGGTCATCTGATTATCAAATTTGAACAAATTCCTTTTATCATGTGTCAATTGTCAACTTGTTATCCATGTTTTTCCCCTCCTTGTTTAGTGCAAATTTACAAGCTTATTGAGTGGTTTCACCAGTGTATTTCTGGATGACTAGGGTTTGGGTCGTGTAAACAAATGATGGTGAGCAAATGTTGATAGGGTGTGAGATCCTTTATAATATAATAAGGACGATGTAATTCACAGGCAAAGAAAAAGAATTTATTGGAATTATTATTATTCATGCTGAAGCATTAGCTTATTATGTTAGCAATTTTTACTTGATTATGGGATCTTCTTTTCTTTATGTCTGGTCAAGCTAATCACTATTTTTTGATGCAGACAAATATAAAGTTGGTGATGATGGTGTTGCTCAAATGAGAATGATACTTGGAACTTGTCTTGATGCAATTGCTAATTTGTCAAAAGATTGCATCAAGAGAATTCATCTGCTGGAGAGTAAATCTGATTTGTGCACATTATGGCAGTCAAAGCTGGCCTTTTCTCTTGAACAAACCATTTTATTTGCCAAATTAGTTCATGAAATGGAATGTCTTGGAGAGCACACTGATAATGACAGTGTGTACTTTATCGTGTTCAAATATTGCACTGAATGTATCCAGACCACGCTCACCGATTCAAATATGCGGGTAGAACAACTACTATGTTTTCAGATACATTTTTTTTTTTTTGCATTCTATGTTTATGGGCATAGAACAACTACTAAATATGAAAGAAAGATGGTAATACTGTAGACATTAACTTCCTACCTTGCAGGTTCAGGCCATTGGGTTTCAGGTGCTTAAAGGCATGGTACAAAGGCCCACAAATGCGGAAGAAAATGCTTTTCTAATGTTCTTTGCTGGGGAACTTGTAAAAGATATCTTTGTGATTATCCAGAAGATGTTGCAGGTTTGTTTTCTCCCCCTTCGCTTCTTTTTCCTTTCGGAAACCATAATGATGGAAATTTTGATCTTAATCAGTTTTAAAATATAGTTTCTATATAACTAGGGATTTGTGTATTAGGGGTAGTTTGCCATTATCAAGTTTCCTTATTTTGTTTGGTTAGTTTCCTATTTTCCTATTTGGTTTTCCTATAAATGTGGTAGTTTGTAGTTTCAATTCAGAGAATGTTTTATGAATAAATATTGAGATTATGGGTTTCTTCCTGAGTTCTTGTTCTCTCTCTTGAATCCTCCATCTCTCCTTTGGTTCTATCTGCGGTTCTATTTCTCTATCTTGGTTTCGATCTTCTATATGGATTCTATCTTGGTCCCACATCACGTAATTCTTGGTCCTACATCACATAGTTTGATAAATTTTCTGCCTTTTCTTTCTAATTCGAAAGGGGTCACTGTGCTCTTGATGACAGAAACCCATAACGAAAGAATCGGCAACTATTGCCGGCGAATGCTTGAGGCTTTTAGTGCTTCTTCAAGCAGTATCAAAAGATGGCGAATGTCAGAGAGGTTATGTGAGTCTGTTCTTGGAAGCCACTGTCATGATTATCATGGCTCCGGATGATGGCTGTTCCCAGGTTACATAATTGATCAGCTTCACTATGAACATTTGAGGTTGTCACCTAATTAATTTCATGCTGAATTCTTCTCCTTATGCATGTTAATGGCAGGAGTTCAACGATCTAAGAAGCTCTTCTATAAGGCTCGTATCTCATATTGCGCAAATTCCTTCTTCAGCAGTTCACTTTAAGGAAGCCTTATTGTCTATGCCTACAGTACAGCGGCAGCAACTTCAGGTATATTTGGGCGTGTTACTTCATTTGATAAAGCATTTTTGTTACATGATTATGAGGCTGTCTTATGTTGGTTTTGGATACAAGAGGGGTCCAGACTGTAGTTGTTCTCTAATTGTCATTATTAGGTGAAGCTTTTGTCATTATTAGGTGAAGCTTAACATCATTAGCATTGTTATTGTCCACATAGGTTATAGTCCTATGTGCCACAATATTGGCCATCTTTTGACAAGGTGAACCTCCAGAATTCTTCCAGTGATCTAAGTTCTAAGTTCTGCATACTCTTTCTTTTAGGAAAAATGTTTCTTTACATGCATATTCTTGTAGAAATGTTATTATATGGGAAATTTGTTCTTGTCCTTTCTGGGTATTTGGCGCCTTACTGTATCACCTGGACCTAGTTGCTAATTAAGGATAAAACTATCAGGCTAAAACTGGTATATTTAGCGTTTTTAATATGAAAGAAAAATGTGATTTATATTTTCCACTTAGGCTTCTTTTTCCCTTCACTTGGGCTCCGTTTGGTAAGAGGGATGGAGAGTATGAAGGATAGAGGGTTGGAGGGATGGAGAGTATGAAGGATAGAGGGTTGGAAGGATGGAGAGTAAGAAGGATGGAGAGGATTATAGTAATCCTTCATGTTGTTTGGTACGAGTGAGGGAGAGTTGAAAGGATGGATGATAGTTGTTTGTCCAATTACTATATTGTCCATTTTATTTATTTGGTAATAATTTCTTTTAGGGGTAAAATAGACTTTTAGTTTTAAAATTGGATGGATTGGTTGGATCCTTCCATTGATGGAAGGATCCAAATTGGTGGGCCTGGAGGGAGACTCTCTCCCTCCTCTCATCCATCCAACCAAACATGGGAATTATTCTCTCCCCCCACGTCTCCTTCCGCTCCTCTCCCTCCCTCTATCTCTCTCTCCTACCAAACACAAGTAAGGCTATTTTAGCTAGAAAGAGCTTTATATACTGACAAGCGACAACTGCAAAATAGCAGTTTAGTACATTCTTTAATTATGACTTATAAGTTAGAAGTAATGGATTCCATTTTATTGATGTTAATAAATGGAATCTCCCCTTTACCATTGTTCGGTATCAGGAGGTCATCCGTGCTTCTGTTACACAAGAACAAAGTGCAATTCAGGCAAAAGCTGCAACTCCATCCTTGGGGATACGTTTACCACTGCCAACTGGGGAAAGTAGAGAGAAGATATCCCAACCGCCAGCCACTGTAATGTACTCTAATAAGGATAGCATGGCGGAGAAAGAGGAAGACAAGGAGGATGAAGAGGACGATGATGATTGGGATGCCTTCCAGTCCTTTCCTAACTCTGCAAATGCAGCTGGGACCGACTCAAAAGTAGAAAGCATTTCAGAAGAATCTGTCCTGGTTGAAGAAAACTCTTCTGTTCCGGAATTAGATGCAGAAAGTGATTTCTTTAAAGAAGCTGTTTCTCAATCCCCCAACAATACGAGAGATGCCGGTAGCACTGATCAAGAGGATGTTGAAGGCGAGGTGATATTTGAAACCCCTACTGACGAAATGGCCTTGCATGAAAATATTGACGGAGAGGTAGATGAGCCAACTGATTTCCGAATTATTAGTGGTCTTGCCGAGCCATGTGATGATAGTCAGCATTATCAGGAAGTGGCACTCAATAAAGAGGAGGAAGAGGGAGCTGGGTCAAGCAAAGTGACTGAACAAATCCCATCTGATCTTGATTCCACCGAAGACGCCGAAAGGTTGGTAGAAGTAAATATAAGCGAGGATCAGGAGTTGAGAAGGGAAAACTCAAGACAATGAAAGTGAACCAGGACCGTCAGATACTAGTCCTTATAAAGGAGATTAAAAACAGCTAATAGAATCTGATAGTGGTTATAGAATGGAACCACTGGCTAAAGATGAACAGCACCAGGAGAGCAGTGACGTGTCCAAATCGTAAAAGAAACAAAAGAAGGAAGATGATAATGCTCAATTATCTCGATACCAAGATCGATAGCATCACATTCATTTGTTCTTATACTCCGTGCAAAATTGGACACAGTTTTGCAAGTGATCAAAACGTTAGAGATGTCCCAACTTTTCGAGTTTTTGGCTCTGCAGTGCCAATACTATTTTGATATGAAGGACATATTGTTTTATTTGTTTATTTATTTTGTAAATCTTGTATTTCGTTTTGGTGAATTATAAATCTCTGGTTTTCTTACGTGTCTAGAGTTCTTGTGATCCACGATATAAATTTCTTAATGTCATCTAAAGAAAATAGAGGAGAGTTCACATACGACGAAGGAAGAAGACAATCACCTGGAAACGCATTTCGGCTTCAATCTCGAAAAAAAGTTTCTCCTTTTTCTCCTCTCTAATGTTTAAGACTAGTTAGGATGTTTAATATTTCCAGCATGTTTTAATTTCCTTATCTAGGGTACGGTGTAGCCGAATCATGATTGTTCATAATATCTAATTTTCAATTGGATCGATGTTTATTCCAATTTGCTGAGTGTTACACTCTGTTCTTTAATGTTTGTGAATGTTTGGCCAACTTTTATATGAATTGGTATTTAATTTTAAGACTGAGAAGTGATGGTTAAATATGCTGCGTGATTGTGATGCCATTAGAACGTCATAAATTAGAGATAGTTATAAGACCAGTGCAGTAGTTATGGTTTCCTATTCTTAATGAGTCTCAATATGTTAAAATCTTGACAGAAATATATGGTTTGTATGTTTGAGATATGATAATTGATGCTTGAGAAAGATTGATAATTAAGTTAAGAGAAATTCACTGTTAGCATAGGAATAAATATTGATTAATTATGAATTGGGAATTTGAGCATGATTGATTTGATTAAATCAAAAACCCTATTATTGAATTTTCATCTCTTGTTATTCGCGCTTTGTTTTATTTTAATTATTTTGTTTTTATTTTCATACAAATTTTCTCCTTGCGAAATTTTTAGATAAAAACAATTATAGTATAATAACAATCAATCATTGTGAGACGATACTTTGTACTCAGAGAAATTTTATTACTTGATAACGATAGTGTACGCTTGTGCTCGTGAAAAATCATAACACTTTGCATCTTGTTTCATATGCTCTCTGAATTTTAAAAAAGGGTTCATTTCACCTTATAAAGTATGAAAGTAGTTCAAAATACCCCTTAAATTATTGATTTTATATCAATTTTCTTCCTAATCTTTTAAAAAATCGGGGGATAAATTTACTTAAAATTAATAGTTTTAAACACATTTGTAAAAGTATAAATAGTGTTAAGTTATCGGCTTAGTTTGGTATTGTTTTTTTCTCTCAAAATCAACTTCTGCTTGTAGCAGAGTTGATTTTAGTGTTTGGTAAATTTCTTCAAAAGTGTTTTCTGAAAAAAATTTCAAGAATATACGGCCAAAATCAGAAGCAGCCTATAGACAACTTTAGCTTTTAGATTGTGCGGGAATTAGCATAATACAATTAATGAAACTTTAATAATACCCATAATACCCGTAATAAAATTTAAAATTTACAATCTTCTCAATCTAAAATTTAGACTCGTAATATAATATAATATAATATAATAGTAATATTCTAACAAGTAATATCATAATTATATTAATAACTCTAATATTATAATTTTATCATATAATATGATATTATAATAATATTATAATTATT